TTTTCTGATGTAAGTATCTCGGTGCTTTGGAGGAAAAGCAAATTTCCAATATTAAGGTATTTCCTATCATATCGCAGTTTGTTGAAGACGTACACACTTATTTATGAATTTTTGTTACATCTCTAATCTAATTTGCCATATGATATGAGCGGCCCGACAAGATAGTAGGAAGGAATCAATATTTCCAATCAAATGGCGCATTCATTTCCTGTCACATGTATAGGCACTGATATGTGAACAATTATCCTATTTTGTAATCTAGTTGATAGGCGTACAATAGCTGCGAAGGTCATTTGAAATCCAATCGAAACTAAGATGTGAATTTTCCCTAAGAAGCTATATGTAGAAGGGAGTAAGTAATACCACACAGGCACTGTCAGAGAAGTTAGTATTTGAATACGTGTGCAGTTACAGGCATCATCGAAGCGTTCGGTGTTATATGACACATGCATCAAATGCTCGACAAGGGTTGCCATACGTATTTAACCTTAACAGATAAGTACAGTCTTTCTTTCCACTTGAATGTTCTCTTCTTTTTTTCTTTTAATACAATTCGAGATAAAAAATTTTCGTCCTTTGTGTAATATTTCATATTTATATACAGTTTGTTCGATAATTTAATGAAGTAGAGGCAATCACATGTTGATTATGCCGATGATTCTCTTAAGTGACTGAGAGTCACGTTGCGATTCTGATAACGTTTCTTACTACAAACGTTTCTTACTTTAAAAAAAAAACAGAAAAACGAATTGAATCAAACGATCTTACACATTCGGCCAACCACGACTTGGTTTTTGATAACCATATCAAGGGAGTTGTTAAGAAAACGTTAATACACTACTTAGCGGTGGCCGCTATTTTGACGATACGCAGAACACAGTGCATAATTTCAGCGTGAAATGCCCGAAAGATCGCGCAAGTGAGAATTTCAAAACCTTCAGTTCTTCTTTAATTTTGAATGAATTTTAACAAATTTACTTTGTATATATATACTTATATAGCGAAAAATGTTTTAAGCCGTTGCTGAAATCAGTTAGAAAATTATGTTCGGCTTTGAGCGGATATGTGAAATTCATTATCAGATACCCCTGACGGCAAATTAACTAAATATAAATGAAATAAATTTTATGGAGAGCCGATAGCCTGTGTTGCTAGTGCTCAATGTCTTTCTTTTAGTCTAAGAATTCAATTCATTAGTCTAAAATTAAAATAATAATAATAAATAATAATAAATTTAATGGAAAAAAAATTTGAAAAATGTCACTAAAAGCACTAAAAGCATTTTTTAAAATAATTCAAAAAATTGTTGCGGAATTGAGAAGAAATTTTTTTGAAGTTTTGAATTGAATAGATTGTAAATAGTAGATATATAACATATTTATAAAAAAAATCCCGAATCTCAGGCCAATTAATTTTGAGGAGTGATAACATCTTGCGATTCGTTTTTATTTATTTATTTTTATTTTGTTTTGTATTACCACTCCTTATATAACCAGACGGTTCAAAAAGCCAAGATTCAATGCCTTCTACCTAAGTACCCATAGACGTAGACACGTATTGGATGAAGTGAGTAACTTGGCATCTGCAAACCGCAACGGGAAATGAGAAAAATTCCTCTTGCGCAATTCGCCAAAATCAACAACAGACGATTTACTGTATTGAGTCAAAAAGGGTTCGGAAACAAACAGGTGGTGAAGAGCACTTCAAATCAACAGCATCTTTTTTTTAAATCAACTTTTCAAGAAAATCGCCAGCTGCTTACGGGGTTTCGAGTTATTTTAGTAGAAGAATTTTTGTTTTTTTCTCTAAGTGTAAAACTAAAACATGCAGCGAAAGATTAAACAAGCAACACAGAAAAAGCGAGTTTGTGTTTGGTCTTATTCTTTCTTTCTCTTAAAAAAGAAGCTGAAGAATTTTTTCACCTTAAGGATCAAGGTATTTGAAATAACGTAAAGAAACCTCGTTTTGGGCATTCTTTTGGAATAGAAGGAAAGGAGATAGAATTATAATATTGGGCAAGGTTATTAGCCGCTTATTGCAGTAATGAAAAATAAAAAAATTGTTGTGAAAAATTAAAAAACGCAACACCGGAACCATTCCCGCGGAGCACTATCAATTTAACCGGTTCTGCGGCCGCAGTGCAAATGCTCAAAATTTCAATTTAAAAAATAAAGAAAAAATTTGCTTCCATTCAGAAAATGATCCTGAATCGAATGGGTCCTTGTTGGTGTTTTGTGAAGTGTACTTGAAAATTTGAAATAAACTAAAATCCAATGAAAGAAGTTTTCTAGAAATATACTCCATTTTGAATGAAGACATTTTCAAATTAAAAGTTTCTCGATTAGGAGATTGACTGAATTTAAGTAGATTTTATAGATGAACACCGCAAAGCTCGAATGCGAAAAATGAAATATGTTCGAGTTACGTTGCACGTCAAGTTTTTCTTTTTTTAATCATTTAAAAAATTTCCCTAATTAAGGGATCAATTAAGTCAGTAAAGTCAAAAAAATGATTTTGTTAAAAATTTATAATGACCTTTTACCCCTTAAGAGATGTAAGCAAAATTCTGCTTATTATTAATAAAAAGTCGTTTGATTATTTTCTGCATAAACTTCGAAAACTTGTGTTGTTATGTTTTTAGTGAAAAAGCTTTTTTTCCTATTTTAACGATTATGAATTTTCAAATATAACGAAAATTTCGAAAACCGAAGACGATAAATTCAATTGCTTTGCGTATGTGCTGCTCAAGCTGCACAATTTTCCAAAATGGCTTTTTCTTGCATTGTAATTATTTGTGGTATGTTTTTTAAAGGGGTTAACGAGTGTATTTCTATATATTTAAAAATGATTCTTTAGAACAGATTCTTCAAAGAGAGAGAGAGAGAGAGCGGGTCTATCTATCGACGCCTTTTTCTGTACACATTACCTTACATTCATAATTAGCAATGTTACGTCAGTTATGTGAGAAATTCATTTAGAAATCTCGCATGAAAAAGAGAAAAAACTAATTAGGCAAAGCCAGTGAATGTGTTAGCAAACGCATGCGTATCGACCGACCAATAAGCAAATATTTTCAAATTAATTAATTACTATATAAAGCATGGATTTGTACATATATTCAAAACTCTTCCGTCTCTAATGTTTAAATAAAAGAAATATATTATTTATATATGTATTTGTTTATCTTTCTTTTCGTTTTTAATGATAACTAACTCGTTAAGTGTTATAACAACAAACTAAACGAATTTCTTGCACATGTTCGTTGCTGGTACAATTCCTGTTTAACAAGTTTAATCGCATTAAACAATAGTTAGTTGCATTAATATTTGAGATTCATTTGTTTAAGCATTTATTTGTTGATAAGTGGACAACTACAAGACTACTATTCCGATAAGTTTGATGAAAAGTTTGACTTAATTTGATAAATAGAGAGAAATTTTATTTTCAGAAAACTGACAAAGAGTTGGATTCGTATTCGCACTGTTTTTGTAAAAGTTAATTAACTTTCAGGAAAGCCCAAGCGAGCTATTCAACTAAGTCTGCAGAATTCAGTACCAAAGCAGCCGAACGTATCGCTTCCTTTTATTTCACTAGTAACACACAATCCATTGTAAACATTGCTGACCCGAGAAAGTGCTTTTTTTTTAAATCAGACACAAAATGTTTTGAAGCCATTTGCCTATGATTGATAGGCCGTGCGTTCGGTTGTCCGTAGGAGCAGCTTTGAAAGCTACATTCCTGGATAGAGTTTCGTTGTGATTACATTTACTTAAGAGGAGTAATTTAAAAAACAAGTAAGAAAATTATATTCGGTCGTGACCGCGTCTTTCGTACCCATTACCGCTATCTTACGAAAGTCTAAAAAAGAGGAAAAGATCTCTGTTCACAGTTTTTGTTGCACAGCATGTGTGCATTGTAGGCGTGTCCTTTGTTCGGTTTGAATAATTCTCAAATTCGGTTGCGAATTTGTAGGCGATACCTTTTTCCTGAATGGGAAAATGTTTACCGCAGATACTGTAAAGGTGGACAGATGGACAAGCACACATGCTTAGCTGCATTGCTAATTTGAAACTGGTCAAGAATTTATATACTTTATGGGGCATTTGAAGCTTCTTTGTACGCCTTATAAAGGTATTGAAAATAAAATCAAGTATTGATGTACTATAAAACTGGATAGGCGTGGTCCATTTTTCCAATTTTTGTGCAGGCACTACAAGGCCGCCTATAGAATATACGTTCAACTTTGATGCGGATTCATCCACTTGTGAAGAAAACCAATTTTTTGTTCCTTTTGAAAAGTAGACGTGTTATCACTTTACGTAACACTGTAAGCGTGTCTTTCGGTCGATTTGGCCCTTATTTGATACCAACGTCCAATGTGTCTGTTATATCTGGAGTCGATAACTTCATTTATGCGGCCAGGGAAGAACTTTACAGCAGATATTGCACAGATGGACCGACGGATGCATAGAACGGCCTTGTGCGGGCTATTCGCGCTTTCTTCAGTCACGATTTCACTATTCGCGAATAAAAAAAAATGTGGCCAATTCCTATATTCGTGGCTATAAATTTCCCCGATCTGTGTTTTCGAGAATGTAAACAACCAGACTGAAAGCAACCTTATTACCCAATGAATAAAGTATGTAAGCAGTTTTTTAATGTTTCGTCTTTCACATTCGTTACAAAAATTGCGATCGGTGTAACACGTCTCTACCGCTCTTTTTCTAGTTTATAATGTCGACAAAAAAGATCAGAAACGAGTTTCGACACAAAAAAAATTTGTGTTATCGCCTAAAGTGAAAATAGAAATGCTTGATCGTTTACGCCTTGGAGAATCATTTGCATCCACATTATGCTCATTCCATGTCAACGAATCAATTGTACGGTCGATAAAAAAATCCGAAGATAAAATAAGGTCGTTCGTAGCTTCAACTTCAGTCAACGAAAATTGTTCCTGATCCAGCATTAGAAAAATTTAAGTGACGTTGTCATTATGGATCGAAGACCTCAACCAAAAAAGGGTGCCCTGAGTGGTCCAATGGTTCGGGAGAAGGCAAAGCGTCTTTACGCTCATTTTAGAGAACTTGATGATAGTTGTTGTGTTGAATGTACAGATGGAGGATTTCAAGCATCGAAAATTTAAGGTGAGACAATCCTTGCATAACATTAAAATCGTTGGAGAAGTAGCATCTGCAGACACTGCTGCAGCAAAACGATATCCAGAAGAATTTGTAAGCCTAGTAACTGGTGAAGGATACAAACCTGGGCAAGTGTTTAATGCAGACGAAACTGCACTGTTTTCGAAGAGAATGCCAAACAAAACATTCATTTCTAAAAGTGAAAAGCCTGCTCCTGAATTTAAGGCAACAAAGAATAGAGTTACACTGGTGCTATGTTCTAATGCATTTGGGGATTGTGACAGTGTTTTGACGGGCTAATAAGAAAACGTAGGTTACAAGCGCTATTTTTTGTGAATGGTTTCGGAATTGTTTTGTTTCTGAAATTGAAACTAATTTAAAAAAACAGAATTTAGACTTAAAAGCACTTCTAGTTTTGGACAATGCACTAGGTGATTCTCGCGAACTTGAAACTATGCATCCAAATATAAAAAAAGACATTTTTACCTCCGAACACAATGGCTTTGCTTCAACCTATGGACCAAGGAATAATCCAGTCCTTTAAGCCCTATTACGTTAGACAAAATCGTAATGGATAGTATGGAAAGTAATCCTGATATGAATGTTATGGAATGCTTGAAGAAATTTGACATAGCAAAATGCCTCATAAACATAAAAACATCATTGGAAGAACTGAGGCCACACACATTGAAGTCGTGTTGGAAAAAACTGTGGCCTGCTCTGACTGCGAAAAATGACGAAGAACCTGTGCAAGTTCAAACTTTGACTGCAAACATAGCCGAAATCGCGAACGGAATAGGACGATATGGGTTCGAACAGATAGAATCAAGTGACACTCAGGAATTGTTTGAATCGCAAGATAAAGATTTGACTGACATCGACTTGGAGGATATCTTAAATACACAACCCATTGAAGAGGAGACCTCAACAACCACTGGAAACGTGACATTTAATTTAAAAAATCTTAGTGAATTGTTAATGCGACCGCTGCGTATCAGTCAGAATTGAAGGAGCTTTTAAAAACTGCCAAGCAAGAGATAATTACAAAATTCTTCAAACCATTGCCTAAGCCTTAATCAAAATGTTCAAAAACTGCAACGTATACCCTATGATCTCATATAAATTACCATTCGCGTATTCACGGTTTCTGTATTCGCCGCATATTTATGGAACATATATCCCGCGAATAAAGAGCTTTTACTGTACTTCTCTCACTACCGATATGCACATTAACCTTTTCATACCCTCCAAAACTTTTAAAACAGGGATATATTAAGCTTGAGCACATATATAGAACATCCAGAGGGATTTGAGATCAACTTTCTATTCTACTGATCGATCTAGAAAAGCGATTTCGAGTTGATATAAGCTCGTTTGCCCGTTCGCTAGACTTGTGTACTTGTGTTCAACCTACAGGCAGCAAATCTTTGAAATAATTTAGTTAAAATTGATGTTCCGACGTAAATGCTATTAAAAATGGTTCAGATCGGACGACCACTTCCTATGCGAAGTCTTATTTTGAATTGAGCTTTTATATGAACAACTGAAGCGTAAGTGTAAGATGTTCAATGTTTCGCCATGGCTCACTACAGTGTTCTTACTTGCTCTTCTTTAGTTTGTGGATTATTTAAGCCAAAAAAACAAAAAAATTTTAAAATTCACAAAGTAACTTCTCCGTAGCCTTGGGTTTGAAATTCAGCATATAATTTCTTTTTTTTTTATTTCCAAAAATTTTCCGGAGACACGGAGATCCAAGCTTCGTTTTAAAGCTTTTTCACAGTATTTTTTGTTCTCCTCGTTACTCTTCTGCTTCAACTTAAACTATTAAATTTATAAAATATGAAAAATTAAAAAAAAGAATTATTTTTATTATTATTACAAATGCATCTTTAAATAGGCCTTTGTTCTCTGCAGAATGTTGCAGTCATGTTGTTAGTCATGTTTTGTGATTAATATACATGAACAAGATTTAAACATATGTAATTTCTGCGTATAGGTAGAAAAATAAGATCATCATTTTTGGGGTAAAGCACACACAATTACAGGTAAAACCCAAGGAGAATTCCTATCTTGTGGTGATAATGAACAGCAGTTAATAAGAAAAATTATGATGCGAAATAAAAGTAGATTCAGTGAAAAACTGGTTTACTTGTACGTCTGATACTTGTACATGAAAACCTGACACGTAGATGTTGATTGAGACTAAAATAAGTGGAAACCCAAAATTTGAGAAAGATAGCAAACCTTTAAAGAAGGTATGAGAAGATTAAGGTAACAGCACACAAGTTTAGCAAGTAAGAGAACTATTACCTCTATGAACCGCATCTAACTGAGGTAATTAATAAAATCGGTTAAATATATATTATAAATAAATAGTGTCAAATGATAATAACTAAGTCATCGTCACACATGTGTGGAACGAAATTTTATGTATTTATTTTTTGCAAAATTGATTACTTATTTATTTAGAATTTCTACCATGACTCGTTTCCTATTCCGTAACTTGTGGTTAGGCTCAAAACATTTACCTAAGTATCCCTAAAGGTTTAATATGAAAAGGGAAATTTATGACCGTATTTTAAGCAACGGAACAGGGCGTTCCTTCTTGAACCAAAACAGGCCGGTGTACCGACTTTGGTCAAAATATCACAAAAATTGCGATCTAGAGGTTGACCCATAGCTGTACAGGCAAGCTTAAACATATTCAGGAAGTGATTTGATATAATAAAAGGTGATTCTATGTCTCTTCTTGTGGATGTTGCACACCTTCACACAAACTGAATACACCTTTATCCCGAAAGTGGTGTAAGACATAAAAATTGGGATTCCGTAATATTTTGCGGATGGAGGTTTCAGCTGCTCACGATATTGTCTACTTTGCCAGAGGTGCAAGTCCATCCCATTTACTTCAAATTCACTTAGCAAACGCAGAGCTGGCTAGAAAATCTTCGCAGGAAGACAGAGATATGGCTGCCCGGAAAAGCATTTTCCATTTTGTTTTGATTTACCGCAGGCACTTCTTTATATTGAACTAGCAGGATAGGTTGCATGTATATTTATACATTGAATCAAGATGTAGTATATAATATTATTAAGAAATTCGCTTTCCTCGGATACGATTCGTATCGCTGGATCGTGGTTTTTCTAACTTATACACTTCCACGTTTCCACACTTCCACGTTTTCACGTCAAGATTCTTTTATTTACAATTAATTTCTTTAACAGCAGGATTATTCACAATTTATTTCTGGCAATACTCTCGTCTTCTCAACTCAAATATTCTTTTTCGACTAACTCTGCCTTGCCCAAATATTCATGGCTTCATTTTTAATCCGTTAACCTGCTTTTCCGCTAAATTTTGAAAGTGAAGTAAGTCCATTTAGTTGTAATAATAATTTTATTCATTTTTTTTTTTTTTTATCAGTACTGTAAACACTCTAGGATAATAAATTTAGATCATTTAATAACACAGACTGCAAGAAAAAATATCCATTAGTGCTATTTCAACAATTTCAAATTAATTGAAATGCAAACACCTTGGGTTGAGTGTCCAATATTTGGACTTGGTTCACTTTCAAAAGGAACGGCTCATATAGCGAACGCTTTCAGTAAGATTATAAATGTCGATGAAATTGGCTTTTCTAGCCGTCAACACGAACATGGCAATAGGAAATTTGTGAAGGTCCTTTAAACCGCATATTCACTGCAAATTTTACCATGAGAAAGTTGCCTCTCATAAAACGAATGCCGCTTGTTAGAATATCTCAAGCAAGCCTTCGATGATGCTCTTCAACTCTAAAGCCAAGTTTTTGTGTCGGTTCATACATATGGATGTACTACTGCTCCACACGTAATTCTCAGGTTCGCGCGATTAGTTAAAAGCAGCAAAAAGTGCTGTACAATGCCATGACTTCAGCTTTTTTGGGTGGAGGTTGAAGTAATCTCAAATTGATTAAATCGCCAGGGAAGAAAAACAATTAACAATGATTATTACGCGAACTTATTGCAGCGCTGGAGTAATAAAATTAAGAAAGAATCGCCGCCATCGGTAAGAAGGAAGTCGTTCAAGAAAAAAAAAAAAAGAGTTCGAATTGCTTCTTCGTATACTGGCTGGGCCATATTCACTCCCCTTGGACTATCGTCATCTTTTCTTTATTTACAGAATGTATTTACCGATAAAATAACTTGTTAGCTCGAGGTATTATAAGTTAATTTTTCTTTTTTTTTATTGCCAATTGTAATATAAAAAAAAGACAGTTATTTTTATAAACATGATTCACTTTTTCGAAAGAGAGTATTTTAATTAATTTTTTTATTTATTTATTAATAACATAAACTCAACTTTAATTAATATGTCGACGTCTCTTCCAATTAATTGTCTTAAGCATTAATTCGTTATTTGTTGTTGTCTGTAACAATTTGATTTTCCTTGCGTTTACCGCTCCTATTATATATTCTACTTCCCTAGGGGTTAGATCCGTTTGCATCAATGCCAATTGACAGATTGAAAAGTTCATCCATATATGGAAAAATCATTCATAATCATGTTAAAAGATTAGTTAGCAATTCTTAGTACGAGGATTTTGAGTTGCGTTCATTTTAATTATGCAATAACTGATTTCTGCTTCAATATTATGCAGTAGCAAGACAGCACTAGCCGTAGAGTCATCAAAAGAATGAGAAAGCTGTGCAATATTGATAAAAACAGAATAGAGTAGAAATTTAATGAGCGTTTTATGGTAAAGTTCGGTCTTTCGGCTTGCTAAATACGCTATTAACCGTCGAGGATATACTCGTTTTGTGAAAACGTTTGCAATATTAAAAAGGAAGCTTCAGAATCTCTGTAAGCTCTATGCTACTGTGATCAAAAAATAAGGTGAATTTTTATTCTCTCAAATCTTTTTCATCGTCTTTGTAGAAACCCCACAGCATCGCGATAGTCGAATAACCTGTCAATATGGCCTTCATTTTTGAGCAATTTTCAGGCGGTTGTTGCAGTCTCCGTTCATCTTCTGCACGATATTCCTTTGACGGTCAGTTGTTTCCGGCAAAACTATGGCATCCGGGACTAAGCAAAGATTTGACAGAAACAGTCCAACAACCTGTCTGACCGATCACGTAAATAAATGCATTATCGAACGATTTCGATTGGCCTTTTTTTTGTCCTAAAATCAATGTTTCTTATATATAGATGTGAACGACATATCATTACAGGATGAGAGGTTGTCTGACCCAATAGTCGCACAATAATCGCCACATTGCTCGATTGATTTAAAGTAATACTTTTTGATGCAGGATTCTATACAACTACATGGACCTGTGCTTCAATTAACTTATTTCGACGCTTTAATCTTTCATTCCGCGT